ACTATTAAAGAAGAATCTTCCGGTTCAAAAAATCTTATTTTTATGTTTTGGCCTAACGTATGACTAAGAAAAACGATCATGTTGATATGCAATTAGGCTTTCTAGTCAATTGCAACTTTATTTGTTTGGGACACTCAAAGGTGTTTGTTTACCTAAAAAATAAGAGTAACAATTAAATTTGATTAGTGGTTTAAAAGAAATATGATTTAGTTCAATACCAATTGATAGTCAAGAAATATGAAGTAGAAATAAAAGGAACAAGAGAATTAAACCAGCGTTACTCAGCAGTAGTGACCTCGAGCTTAGTGACCTCGAGGTGGATTTAGGATAATAAGAACAATAAAGCAAGACAAGTAAAGTAAGTAGGAGCAGTAGAGCTAAGGACAATTTTGATGAATAGAGGTGAAAAAGTAGAGAGTATATTCTTTGCTCAATGATTAGATGATGTTACAAATGATTGGGGTCCCCATTATATATTAGGGCAAACCCTTAAATAAGTTATATTTCTATTTACAGTAAGGAATATTCTTGGTGCAGTTGTCTAACCACCTAGTACATAATTGTACAATCCTATTACGGTATTTGTGCCACAATCTTGGGGATGTGGCAGGAATCTAGCTCATTCTGTTACAAATCCATAATGTTACTATTTCGGGGTCGAGCATACTCAGCTTCGGTACTCCTCGTACTCCTATCTCCGATCCTTGCATTCTATCTTCGATCTCGAGTCTGGCCCATCGGGTTCGAACTCGACCTCGCCCAAACTCGATCTTAGGAAGGACCTCTCGAGTATATAGATCGAAGTCATACAATCTCGACCGTATACTGATAGTCCCCACATTTTTTAGAGTAAGATGATAAGAAATGACTTGATACTCGTTTTTCCAGAGTCCTTAGTGATGACGTCATTTCCGTGCATAGGCACTCGAAGTGACTGAAACGTCCTGTCGGTCCACTTCCCCAAAATATTGAATGCATGCCGGTACTGGTTGTCCATTAGCGCTGCCAAACCGTCGTTGTCCTTTTCTAAATATGAGGCTATTCCTTTGAGTAAAGAACTTTTCACTTTCATTACATCTTTCCCTTCTTCATCTCTTTCTCTAATCGTCTATTTCCACCACCTCTTTAAGCATCGAAAAATGATAGGTTCTTGTGAAAACACCACCTTCCGATACAGTCTGTATTCTTTAGCTTAAAATTATGGCTAAAACTTCCAAAACAGTCCCCAAAAAAAGATAAAGCATCATCTTCTTCTACCTCCTAGACGGCCAAACCAGTGGCGCCGCTGACTCTTGAAAAAATCACCCCCGGACCTTGTGTGATTAAGAAGGACTTTAGCATTGAAAATCCCCCCGATGTCCTAGTCCGATGCGAGCATGCATCTCGATATCTTAGTTTGATATCGGAGAAGCACCTCAAAGATATGAAGAAGGACTGTGGCTGGGGAGATGAGGTCATGGTTCAGATCCTGAGCCCCGAGGAAAGCATTACTACCCACATAGAGGGGTTATTAAGTGTTTACACTTACCCCTTCATACTAGGTCCCCTCGATCCGGTGGTGATCGACTTCTGCAAAGCATACGAAGTCACCCTCGGCCATATTCACCCCTCCTTTTAGCGTATCGCGATCATGTTGCGCTACTTTTCCGAAAAGGCCGAGGGGTTGGAATTCACTCTCAACCATCTGATTCGGTTGTATCGGCCCCAGCTATTTTGAGGGCTTACCAAGCTGCAACGTTGAACAAAGAAAGACTTCTTTGCTAGTAACGATGAAGCTAAAGATCGAGTTGGATGAGCCGATTCATCAGAGTAAAGACTTCAGATATTATCCTAGGGACAAAATACCGTTCCCGGAGAGATGGAACTTTAACCGTAAGTGGAGTTCTTCTTCCCAATATCTAATCATTATTAGTTTTTACACATCATAATGCCTTTACTCTTTCTGCAACCACTGCCTGGGTTCCTCACGCGGTCCCCAACCTTGAGGACTGGGTCTGAAAGTTAGCTTCCACCTCCTCCTACGATGAGCGCAAATGGTGTGAATTATCAAGGGGTAAGTGGGTGGCCAAACATCACGGTAAATTCTCTTCCCAAGTTTCTGATACTTTTCATATATTGGTGGCATCGACTCATTCATATTTACTTGTGTAGGCATCGGAGATATTTCCAAAATAAGGCCAGCCCCGCCTAGGGAAGGGACCAAGTCTTCGATTCCAAAATAGGGGAAGGACAACAAAAGAAAGAGGGTTTCGAAGCCTGAAGATCCTCAAGACAAGAAAACTCCTACTTGACAGCTATGGGAGAGATTTGCTTATGTGGACGCAGATTCGGCCCACGATTCCCCAAATGACGAAGAAAATAATGGTGAAGAGTCGGCGTTGGTGCCTCGAACCAGGAAACCAATCGCGGTCGCCAAGCCCTTTGAACTTGAGACCTCATCCCATGGTGAGGGAACCTTAAAGAAAGATTCGGGAAAGGCCCTTGTGTTCCCGAAGGTTAAGATCATTCCTTCGCCTTCAAAAAATATACTGAAAGGGGCGTGTGCGGAAACCCTCAAAGCTAATCAGAACACCCCGGCCGAAGCTCAACTCCAAGGCCTTAAAGTGAAAGGTCTGGCGCAATCCAAGATAATTGAGGAGTTAGAGGCAGAGCTTTCTAGAGCCCGGGCCGAAGCTGCACAAGACAAGGCTAAAGTTGAGAAGACGAGGGCCACGGCTGATAAGACCATCGTTGTGTACCTAAGAGATGACATTGATGTTCAAGCGGAGATGAGGGAGGCCTCCGACCGGGAAAAATGGAGTAATCATTTGGCCAAGTGTCAAGCCCGGAGGAAGACTCTCGAAGAAATCCATGCCCGGGGATTCGACCTTGCTGAAAAGATAGCCAAAGCAAAGGCGCGGGAGACCGATGCCAGGTTTCTTGTATCTTCAAATGACGAATATGCTCTAAGCGGGTCCGAGGGCGGGGAAGGTGAGGAAGGTGTTCCCGAGGAGGATGAGGCTCACAAAGATAGAGTTGTCGAGGGTGCGGTTCCCAAGGAAGCTACTTCAGGGGACGTAACCCCAAAATAGATTAGGTTCTCCTTTTTTGTGTAAGGTCCCCTTGTGGGCGTTGTAACTATACTTTATGTAAAACATCCTTTGTGAATATAAAGAACATTTTTGCTCTATCCTTAATTTGTGTTGAATTTCATTTTGTTCTTATTTGTGGAATATCTCGATGGTACAACCCAAATGATCAGTACGAGTATCGGTTTGAACTTAGAACATAATGGACTCTTAGGTTTTTTTACTGATCAACATAATGCCTCTTGAGGTCTTCAGTAATTCTCGAGCTTAAATCAACTGGATGCGAGCTCGTAACAATGAAACTCTTGGGTCTGAGTTGAGTGAGAACGAGGTCTTGACCTCTATATATTTTGGCACTTAAGCCTTTTTAAGTTGGCCCTTAGACTTTATATATCGGCCCTTAGGCTCTTTAAGTTGGCCCTTAGTCTCTTATACATCGGCCCTTAGGCTCTTTAAGTTGGGCCGGTTCGGCCTCTAAAGTGGCTATAATTTTTCCCTCTTTTCGGTTAAAAGTCTTAGTGAAAATTTTTGTATGCCTTAGCATGTGGTTTTTGTACCCATTTTGGGTTTTTTGAAGGTTCGGCATATCGGGACCTTATTAGTAACTTGTTTGTGCAATAATAATCGAATACCTCTTGAGGTTTTATCGAAAGCTGATGTTATCGAAGCCTTTAATTTATTCAAGGGCTAAGTTTATCGAAGTCCTTTATTTTTTGCTTTTGCAGAGGGTAGCCTAGTTTAACCGTTTTTTCAAAGTGTTTGAAGGCCTTTAATTTATAGTGGACGTAGGACGTCTCCAAGCCGTATTATATTGGTTGTAGCCTTTTACACGACTGTAGTCTTTAATATAGTCGTAACCTTCGGGTATATCACTTGGACTTATTTCCCGATAACTTTTCGAACTTGTTCGGAAAGTTAGTCCTCGAGTATATTGGCCTTGGCCTTTGTTTCGAGAGGATGCCTCTTTGAGGTCTTATGAGGCCGAGTTTTCGACGACTCGAATGTGCTGACTCTCGATGACAAACCCCGAGTATTTTGGGGTGCATTTGTGTTTTGGCTCTTGAGCCGCTTCCCGTAGGATTGTATGTGTAGATATCGTATAATAGTAACAAATTTTGAGACACAAAGTGTATTTAATATAAACAGAATGCTTTTTCAAATAATTGATACATGCGTACATGTTTTGCTATCGGGGATCGACGATTCTATATGGACACAGTTCATTTGACCGTTTGGCCCATTACAAAGTTCTCCTATCGAGACCCTCTTAGGCGTGAAGTATTTTACTTGAAAATGGATCCTCCGAGGGTGATGCCCCCCAGTATTCGAGGTTGATTGAAAAGAAGCCTTGGATACTGTTGAGTTCTCCTTAGGTAGAATATAGTCGTTGCCTCGTTAAAACCTTGCCGGAAAAACCCATTTGGGACAAAATCAGATCTAAGGGAAAAAGAGTGCATTGCATGCTTTAAAACCTAAGGCTTTGTGCAAAAAGGTGCCTTCGAGATCGTATGCCTTTGATAGCTTCGATCGAAAAATCTGCAATGAGTTAGTTTTAAACTCAAATGGACAAGAGGATAAAGTCATACCTTAGCAGTAGTATCATTTGAGTAATGATATGTTCCAATTGTTTGGAATTTGTTCACCTTCCACTGTGCTAAGTTTATAAGATCCTTTACCGAAAGCTCCGAGGACTCGGTATGGTCCTTCCCAATTCTGGCCTAGTTTCCCTTCATTAGGATCTCGGGTATTGCGGGTGACCTTTCGTAGAACTAAGTCCCCGATTCCAAAGTGTCGAAGGTTGGCCCTTCTATTGTAGTATCTTTCGATCCCTTGCTTTTGCACGGCCATCCGAACAAGTGCGGCTTCTTGTTTTTCATCTAGTAGCTCGAGGCTAGCATTCAAGGCCTCGTGATTTGACTCTTTTGATACATGTCAAAACCTGATGCTGGGTTTTCCAACTTCGACAGGGATGAGGGCCTCGGAGCCATAAACTAAAGAGAACGGAGTAGCCCCCGTGCTGATCTTCGATGTTGTTCGATATGCCCAAAGGACCTCAGGTAGGACTTCTCTCCATTTCCCTTTTGCATCATCCAATCTTTTCTTCAAGTTTTGAATGATAGTTTCATTTGTTGACTCAGCTTGTCCGTTTCTGGTTGGGTGGTGCGGTGTCGATAAAATCCTCTTTATTTTATTCTCTTCGAGGAACCCCGTTATCTTGCTACCGATGAACTGCTTTCCATTGTCACAAAATCTCGGCACGTATCCCGAATCGGCATATGATGTGGTCCCAGATACAGTCAATAACTTCTTTTTCTCGGACCTTCTCGAAGGCCTGTGCTTCCACCCACTTAGAAAAATAATAAATCATAAACAAAATAAACTTAGTTTTACATGGTGCCGTTGGTAGGGGTCCAACTATGTCCATTCCCTATTTCATGAAGGGCCACAGGGATAGGACCGACTGGAGTTGTTCTCCGGGCTGATGGATCATCGGTGCTAATTGGTGACACGTATCATATTTTTTCACAAATTCCTTAGTATCTTTTTCCATGCTATCTCAATAGTAACCTGCTCTGATAATTTGGCAGACCAAAGATTCAGCACCGAAATGGTTCCCACAAGTGCCTTCGTGGATTTCTCGTAGAACATAATCGGTGTCCTCTGGCCCCAAGCATACCACCAATGGTCCATCGAATGTTCTTCGGTACAATGTTCCATCTTCATCTAATGCAAATCTAGCAGCCTTGGCTCGTAGGGCCTTCGATTCTTTGTAGTCCAACGGTAGTTTTCCACTCTTCAAATAGTCGATATACTTATTCCTCCAGTTACATGTTAAACTTGTTGAATTTATCTCGGCATGACCCTCTTCAATCGTAGATCTCGATAATTGGACGACAGTCCCCGGACGATGTCATCTTCTTCGATCGAGGATCCCAGATAAGCAAGTGCATCGGCCTCGCTATTTTGTTCTCGGGGTACATGATCAAGAGTACACTCCTTGCAGTGGTGCAAAGTTATATGTAGCTTATCCAAGTACCATTGTATTCTATCCTCTCGAACTTCAAAACTTTTGTTTACTTAGTTTACCACAAATAGAGAATCGCACTTGGCTTCGATGACTTCTGCTCCCAAGCTTTTAGCTAGCTCGAGACCTGCAATCATGGCCTCATACTCGGCCTCATTGTTAATCTAGGAGTTTTAATAGATTGCTTAATGGTACTGCCTGTAGGTGGTTTTAAGACAATGCCGAGTCCGACCCCTTTCACATTCGAGGCACCATCCGTAAAACGGTCCATACCCCCCGATGATGTACCCGATCCCAGCAGAAGTTCTTTTTCTACTTCGGGTATGAGGGTCGGCGTAAAATTGGCCACGAAGTCAGCTAGGATTTGAAACTTTATGGACGTATGGTTGATATTCAATATCATACCCGCGAAGCTCGACAACTCATTTGGCCAATCGGCCCGATAATTCGGGTTTATGCAAAGCATTTTGAAAGGGGTAAGTGGTTGACACACGTATGGGAAGATATTGAAAATAGGGTTTTAGCTTCCTAGATGCGCTTATCAATGCAAGTGCTAATTTTTCTAGGTGAGGGTATCTGGTTTCACCATCTCCTAGAGTTCGGCTTACATAATAAATAGGAAATTGCGTACCTTGCTCTTCTCGAACTAGTATCCCACTTACCGCTATCTCAGATACTGCCAAATATAGGTAAAGTTTTTAATCCACCTTCGAAGTGTGAAGCAAAGGCGGGTTCGATAGTTATCGCTTTAATTTTTCTAAGGCTTACTGACATACCCGGGATCCATGCAAAGTCCTTTTTCTTTTTGAGCAAGTAAAAGAACCGGGGACTCTGATCTGATGACCTCGATGGCCTTGATTTTATCGGGGTTTATTTTGATGCCCCGATTCAAAACCATGAAGCGGAGGAACTTGCCCAAGCCGACTTCAAAGGCACACTTCTATGGGTTAAGCTTTATGTTGTATCTTCTCAAAATTTTGAACATTTCCTGCAAATGAGCTAAATGGTCCTCTGCGCGCAGGAACTTAACCAACATATCATCAATATAGACTTATATTATTTTACCAATTTTTTCTGTGAACATTTTTTTAACTAGGCGTTGGTATGTAGCTCCTGCATTTTTTAGCCCGAAGGGCATTACATTGTAATAATAAGTTCAAAATTTAGTAATAAATGAAGTCTTTTCCTGGTCCTCCGGGTTCATCTGAATCTGATTGTACCCGAAGTAGGCATCGAGAAAATTTAGGGTCTCGTGTCCAGCCATGGGATCGATCATACGATCGATGTTTGGCAAGGGGAAAGAATCTTTTGGACATGATTTGTTGAAGTCCTTATAATCTACGTGCATTCTAAGTTTGTTTCCTTTTTTAGGAACTACAACTACATTGGCTAACCACTCGGGGTATTTTACCTCCCGAATAGATCCTATTTTAAGAAGCCTAGTTACCTCGTCTTTTATGAAAGCACGTTTTACCTTGGACTGAGGCCTCCTTTTTTGCTTCACCGATTTGTACCTAGGGTCGGTGCTTAGCCGATGTGTGGTGATTTCCGATGGAATCCCGGTCATATCTAAATGGGACCAAGCAAAGCAATCCATATTATCAATAAGAAATTGAATGAGTTTTCTCCTGAGTTCGGGGGTTAAACCCGTTCCCAGGTATACCTTTCTCTCGGGAAAGTATTCAATACGTATGACCTGCTCCAGTTCCTCAAGATTTGACTTGGTTGCATCGGACTCTTCGGGAACAATTAAGGTTTGAGGAGTAAGGAAATCCTCTTCTTCGTCTTCGATTACTTGTTGCCCCGACTCCATGGAGGCTGGGGGTTGTGATTGCTATTTAGCTGCCTGCTTACCTTCGGTGCTCGATTTCTCCTAGATCAAAAGCTCTGGTATTGGAACCACTTCCTCGATTGCAAATATCTCTTTTGCAGCATGTTGCTCTCCATAGACTATTTTCACCCCTTCTTCTGTTGGGAACTTCATCATCTGGTGAAGAGTTGAAGGCACTGCCCTCATGTTGTGTATCCACGGTCTTCTTGAGGAGTTCGTTATACCTCACGTCACCTTCGATGACATGGAACTTCGTATCTTGTATGGTCCTGGCTACATTTACTAGCAGGATAATCTGTTCTTTTGTTGTTTCACTTGCCATGTTGAAGCCATTTAGGACCCGAGATGCAGGTACAATTTGATCTTGTAGGCTGAATTGTTCCACGACCCTCGATCTGATTATGTTTGCTGAGTTACCTGGATCCACTAACACACGTTTAACTTGAATTTTATTTAAAGGGAAAGAGATTACTAGGGCATCGTTGTGAGGCTGAGATATGTCTTCTGCTTCCTCGTCGCAGAATGATAAGATGTCCTCGGGTACATAGCTCCGAGTCAGTTTTTCTCTGGTGATTGATACTTTGATGCGTTTGAATACATGTCGTTGAGGGACATCGACTCTGCCATTGATCATGTGGACTACATGTTGTGGTTCTTCTGGCTCATTATTCCTTGCATCTCTCTCCCTGAAGTGATTCTTATCCTGATCACTTAGGAATTCTCGAAAGTGGCCCTCGTTGAACAACCGAGCCACTTCTTCCCTTAGCTACCTGCAATCTTCTGTTCTATGACCATGTGTGCCATGATAATTGCACATCAAGTTCGGGTTCCTTTGAGAAGGATCGGTTTGTATAGGCCTGGTCCACTTGGTGTCTTTGATTCTTCCAATAGCTGACATGATCCCTGATGCATCTATGCTGAAATTATACTTCGATAGTCGAGGTGCCTCTGTGGGGTCGGTGTGCTTATCAAACTCGCTCTTACTTATTAGTCCTTGAGAACTTTGGCCTCGATTGTTTCTCCAATCATTTCGAGGGGTGATTCGACCCGAGCTATTGTTTTTTGGATAGACATATGGCTGGTACCGTTCCTTGTTCGGTCTCGATTCCATGTCTGCATCCCTCGGGGGCTTGGTTGTGAATCTGTTAGGATGAACTAAACCTGAGGGAGCTCCCAACTAGTCATCCTCGACCCTGATTTTCGATTGGTAGCGGTTGTGCACATCCGACCAAGTCACAGTTGGATACTCAATCACGTTTTGCGTTAATTGTCAAGATGCAATCGAGCTCCTTTCATTCAAACCCTATATAAAAGCTTGTACAGCCCAGTCATCCGAGACCGGTGGTAACTCCATCCACTCCATCTAGAACATATACACAAACTCCGTCAACATCTCATTGTTCCTTTGTTTTATCTTGAAGATGTCTGATTTCCTCGTGGTCACCTTTATGGCCACGGCGTGTGCTTTCAGGAAGGCGTCTGCTAACATGGAAAATGAATCAATAGAGTAAGGAGGCAAGTTGTGGTACCAAATCATAGCTCCTTTCGATTGTGTTTCTCTAAACTTTTTCAACAAGACTGATTCGATCTCATCATCATTCAAATCATTTCCTTTGATCCCGCAAGTGTATGAAGTAATATGCTCGTTGGGGTTGGTTGCTCTGTTATACTTGGATATATCGGGCATGCAAAACTTTTTAGGAATGGGCATCGGAGTTGCACTCAAAGGGAATGGTTTTTGTATGAACTTTTTGGCATCTAAACCTTTCAAAACTGGAGGTGCCCCTGGTATTTAGTCAACACAGGAGTTGTAAGTTTCCACCATTTTGTCATTGTCTTAAATTTTCTTTTCTCCTAACTCGATCCTATTGGTGATATCTTCAAGCATTCTCATAATGGTAGGGTCAGTCCCTGAGTCATTTCCATTCGACCTCTCCGGCGCTGGTTCAGCACGTCAAGTGTTTTCACATTCAGCTACCCTCGAAGTCTTATTCTGACTTTGGAGTTGAGCGATGGCGATCTCCTGAGCCTGCATCATCTCGAATATCACTTGGAGGCTGATTCCCCCATCTTTTTGTCCTCCTTGGCCACCAGATTGGGCTTCTTAGCGTACATTCTCCCTGGGGTTTGTGCCTAAATCTGTGTTTAGAGCAATGCGTGAACTAATATCAATTGGTTCCATATTTGGCACTTCCCCTAGATTTATTGGTGGTACACCGACCCCTAAATTGTTGTTTTCTCCAAGATCTTCATTGTCATGAACATGTACGTTTTGTGAGCTAGACATGTTTTAGCCTGAAAATCAAAAAATCTTAACAAGAAAAAGTGTAAAAATAATGTGTGTAATGAGAATCAATAAAGAAATAATCACTATTATCTTTAGCCCCATGGTGGAAGCCAAACTGTTTACCTTGAAAATACAAGTAACAATTAAATTTGATTAGTGGTTTTAAAGATATGTGATTTAGTTCAATACTAATTGATAGTCAAGAAATATGAAGTAGAAATGAAGGAAATAAGAGAATCAAACCAATGTTACTCAGCAGTAGTGACCTCAAGATTAGTGATCTCGAGGTGGGTATAGGATAATAAGAACAATAAAACAAGAAAAGTAAAGTAAGTAAGAGCAGTAGAGCTAAGGATAGTTCTGATGAACAGTAGGCGAAATAGTAGAGAGTATATTCTTTGATCAATGATTAGATGATGTTACAAATGATTGGAGTTCCCTTTATATAATAAGGGAACCCCTAAATAAGGTATATTTCTATTTACAGTAAGGAATATTCTTGATACAACTGTCTAACTGCCTAGTACGGAATCGTACAATCCTATTCCGGGATTTGCGCCACGATCTTGGGGACATGGCAGGAATCTAGCTCATTCTATTACAAATTCATAATGGTACTATTTCGAGGTCGAGCATACTCAGCTTCGGTACTCCTCGTACTCCTATCTTCGGTCCTTGCATTCTATCTTCTATCTCGAGTTTGGCCCATCGGGTTCGAACTCAACCTCACCCGGTCTCGTGCTTAAGAAGGACCTCTCGAGTATATAGATCGAAGGCATACGATATCGACCCTATACAGTGTTCATTATGAAATATTTTCAAACACCGTCTGAATACAGAAATTCTAATATTATCTAAAACATATCTAGCACTGATTTCCCTTGAAAATTCTGGAAAATCCAATTCAACATGCCACAAATAAAGTGCAGTGCATTAGAGTGCAATAAGCGACTAAAATACGGGATTATAGCCTACTATCAAACGGCAATAAGCAATAATAACAACAAGATATTAAGAAAATCGAAGAAAAAAATAGCAATTAACAGTAGGTTGTAATAGCAATCTAAGAATAAAAAGATACCATACAAAAATTAAAACTACCGATACTAGAAGGAAAAAGTAAAATGCTTGACAACCTACTAATATTCTACTGTATCGACCTCCACAGCCTCATATCAAGGGTCATATCCTATATAACCTCAAGTTGTATCATGTCCTCTTCCTATACCCATCAAGGAAAACCTCTCACACCTCCTAACCGGGGCATCTGTGCTTCTCCTTTTCACATGGCCGAACTATAACAATAATACTCCTCCCATCAATGTTTTAAAAGACAGAGAATATTTTTAGTACAAGGGCGATACATAAGCCTCGATACATGAGGTGCTTAAATTTTAATCATTTATAAACTAATAAATTAAGGTGAGGTTACATTTTGCGGTGTCAGGGTGCTAGTGGAACACAGGTCGTCGGCCCGTTTGATCGGTCTAATTGTAGTTTGAGTAGTGGGTGACTCTCGAGAATGGTTCTAATGAGTTCAAATTTTACGTGTAATAATTGGGGATTTTCAAATAGTATAATTTGGCTAGAAACTAAGGTTTGCATTGGAGGGTGCCAAGACTTGTGTCATTTCTATATCAATTATGGGATTCTATATATCAGTATCAGGAAGGTAATGGCTTTGGATTCGCAGGAAGTCTCGTCGGGGTAGGTATTTTGAACATGGTGCTTTTGGGAATATTTAAGAAAGTATTCAGTGGCTTATGGGCCTTAGATGGTGTGGTTTTATGCTTGGGTCTCATGTGGTGAGTCTGGGTTGAGGAATTGTGGTATTATAGCAAGAAGAGGTATCAAGTTGAAGGTAAACCAGAAGGAACTTGGATAGATGGGATAGCTTGCTAGTAGGCCGGATCGGCACGGTAAGGATATGATTAGTTCTTTGGATGCTTACAAGGTAATAAGTTTCTACAGGTGTTTCACGGCAATCCTCTTGGGTTTTAGTGGCTTACGTAACTTGATTGAGTTAGAAGAATTCAGTCCTGACGGTATAGTTTATGCAAATGGAATTTGGAGAGTTATTGAGGATTTCTACCACAGTTAGATGGGTATATTTTTCCTACTGGCGTGAGGAGCATGGGATGTATTGTGATTCTCTTCTAGATGGGATCAATGGAAAGTTTTGGCTAGTTGAGTACGTAGCTGCTTGTGGTTCGGAAGGGGTATGAATTTATCACGTGTATCCTAGGATGATATGGTTTGTGTGATATGTTGTGTAGTATTGAGATTTTCCTGTGTAAGGTTACGGTTCAGTTTTGAAAGGAAGGTCCATAAAACTCTTAGGCAGCGGGCAGCTTCAGACAATTAGAGAAATGAGTTTCAGACAATCAGAGAAATGAGCTTAAGATGATTAAGGAAATGGTATTGCTAATTGGGATGATTTGATGAGGGTATATGTTTCGGAAAAAAGGCAATGTGATTAAGTTGATGGTACTTCGGTAGTATTGTTGCACTTTCTTGTTAGATCGACTGCTGATATTCGAGTTTGCTTGGCGACACAGAAGAATTTTAGAGTATCTCTCGTGGAATGATTGGGTATTAAGACGTGTGGTATGTATTCGAATGGCAGAATTGGGATCAGGTATGGTGATCCGTGTGCTATATGGAGTTGGAGACTGGGAGTTCTTATGTTCAGGCC